ATTCGCCAACTTCGCGTTATTCTCCTCTCGCTCGTCTTATTATTTTCTTTCGATTAATTCGACAACGATGCTAATAGCAAAGAACATGATCGATAAAGTAACCTAATTTCCCTATAATACTGCAACTTTCCACATGTTCGACAACAAAACGATATTATACATTCTAAAAATTGTACGTAACACTGTCAATGAAATTCAAAGCAGTCGTGAAAAATTACAGTCGTTAAATGAAAGGGAAAAGATGGAATTTCCTTTCAGACATTTCTGGCGTAGGCAGGTCTTGTTGCTTCTATGTTCGAATGGTTGATCCTCTATAAAGGGTAGTGAGAAGAAACGAAAAGGAAAGATGGAAACATAGATCGGACGTGGCTGGTTTGACCGAACACAAGAAAAGAAGAGACAGGGCGAGAAAAGATTTTCTCCTCGAGAGATAACGTCCTTCTTTCTCTTCCGAATATCCATTTCCTTTCTGAACATCCTTCATCTATTTCCCTTCGCTGGTCGATACCGATGTCGTTCTCCTTAAAGAATCGTCCTCGTTCCTGCCCCGAATTTCTCCTCGTATCGCCCAGTATTACATTTTTCTCGCAGTCCAATTTTCGTGCAGTCCCCGGTAATTTGCTATTTGTTTCGCGAGAATTGAAAGTCCAAAGCTATTTGTGGCGCTGAACAAATAGAATTATACAAATTTCGGGAGTAGTTTATTATAATTCATATTTTTTATTTTGTTCTTCTTCGCTGTTTTATTAACAGCTAGAAAAATAAAATTTAACAGTTTAGTACAGATGAATAATTATTCAAGAATTTCCAAAAGTGGCGCCACTTTAATTCATTTATTTCTCTTTCTTTTCCTTCTTATTGAAAAACGAAAGAACGATATTTGACGGTTTAAGCGCGTAAACAAGTATTCGACAATTGCTAAAAGCGATGCCATCTTTTCCGCCTATTCCTTTTCCGCTCTTGCTTCCTTATCGAAGGACGGGAAAGGAAAATTTTGGGAAAATCGATACACACGAATAATAGTTCAGCAATTGTCACAAACGAGAGGAAAGAAATTGACGAATTTTAGTAATTCGCGTAGTACATCTTTCAGTCGGTGTTCACGACTTCGATAATCGTAAGTCATTAAAACGGAATTGGTCTGCAAATTTCAGACATGCTATTTAAACGTTAAAGCTACCTCGGAAGCCTGATTCAAGCGTCTTTACTTGCTGCTTGATAGTCGCATTTCGTACGACAGGTATATAGTGTACTTCCAAATATTAACCCCTCGGTAGTAGCACCGTAAACCATTGTAATCCACAGTTATTTATTACCTCGTCATTAGTTTGCTTCAGCGCTATTGATCTGAATCTGCGTGTAATTTCTTGTCAAAGTGCTATTGCGATTCCGGATGTATTACGTTGTAGCAGTTTATGTAACATTATTTCTTCAGACGATTTCCATATCGCATCTATTAATTGTTATAGCTGGAAACTTCTAGCATACTATGTATTAGCTTGTCCGAACAGTTTCTTTCGTTTTGTCGGGAAATAATAGACGCACAACGTTTTTTGTTTTGTCTGTCGAGACAAACACCGCGACAATTCACAGACTTGGTTTCACGTTTGTATGAAAGTACACTGTTGTAAGAAACACGTTTGCGAAAGAAAGACACTTTCCGGACAACCTGATCGATGAAACTACCTTATTATTATTATTTATTATTATTATTTGTTTTAGTCCGTGCCTTTCGGCTTTGCACGACTTCCAGATTACATCTCTTACATTGTCTTTACTTTGAAACTATCTTAGTATTCAAATTATTGAACTGATCTATAAGTATTTCTCTCACTGATCCGCTAGATTATAATTGTCGGAGATGAGGGGTCATAGGGGGCCTTTCTTTTGGAATTTTTGGGAAGATCCCCAATACTTTGAAATATAGCTTCCTGTTTATATAAAAATTCGAGGATCGTAAGGGGATTAAACGAAACGAGTCAAATTGTACCACTTGTAAGGACATCTACTTCATCTTTCTAAGGACGAAAACTGATATAACATCGATAACGGTAACTCAATTATTCCTACCAGTTACAAGCCAAATTGCCACTATCGCGAAAAAGAATAAATCAGAAGACGACGAAATTTCGTTGCCATCGAAACTTGCGGAGTTCACGGAATTGCGTGGATCAGAGGATCCAACGTTTGGCGACGGTCGAGGAGGCTTTTCCGACCTGGCTTGACCCATATCGAACCCCTGTCGTTCCTCGTGATTATACCAGATCGGCGAAACCCAGTCTCATCGGGTGTACGCTCTACCTAATTTCAGGCTGGACATTCTCGCGGCAAAAAACGAGCATAGGTTGGCGAGCGTTAAATCGCTTTGCTCTTTGGGACGATCGTAAATTTCCTCAGCGTTGATTCGACTTTCTGCTGCCGTCGCCGAGTAACAAGATGGAAAAATAAAGCTGGAACAATCACGATCTCTTATCGTGTCGTTTCTCTGTTTTCGTCTTATCCATATTTATCTGTTGTCCGTCGATGACAAAGTGATAATTGGACACAGACTACATTTTCCTGTAAAATCTCGTACAAGTCTGGAAATATATTTTTTCAATAAAAGCATGGCTCGACAGACTTTCAGACGCGGAATATATCAAAGTAACATTGGACTTTGAATTTTATATTGAATTTTTTGAAATTCTATATTCTTGCCCCATTATTGCGATCAAGTTTCTCATCATTTAAGTTTCTAAAATTCCAATTAAATTTTTAGATATGCAAATGTAAAAACTCTTCCAACGAGAGTTTCACTAAAACTCCATACACGCGTCATGTCGACAATAAATAGGAGCCTCGGTCGTGAAAGTTTCGAATCTTTCAGAATCTTCATACTTCGTCGTATTAGTACAATCTTCGTTACATCGAACACGATAAAAATTTCAGAAACACGTTGGGCCAATCGTTTTTGGCAACGATTCTCTGACGAAAAATTGATAATTTTCGATCACATCTCGCTCAAGTAAATTGACACTTCCGTAAGGTAGCAAGCGTTCCAAAAATTTTGATGAAATTCCGTCCATCGAACGTCGTCGGCGTGCGATGAATGCGAACAATGCGCAATCGAAGGCAGTTGGGAAGCTTAAGGGAGACCGTTCGGGCCTTGAATAACCTAGCCAGTCTTTTGTGCCGATGTTTCGGTGCTATCGAAACGCGAGCAACGCGAATTTCTACGAATCGACGATCGTGATCTGTTAAAATATTACAGGAAGCTTGGTGCGTACTCGTTTGATATCTTTGAATGTTTTAGAATTCCCTGGGAAAATTCCACTTTCGACCGGTCCCCATTTCTGTTTATTCGCATAAAGCATTCCGTTTGACTGGCTATCCAGTTAAAAACCTTCACATCGCGGTTAATAATTCGTTTCACGATGACAGATCAAACAGACGTCGACCATAAAATCCGCTTCGATATTAACGCGTTCCTAATTCGAATTACGATCTTGTTTTAATAACATATATATATACATGTACATCAAAAACAGATACGTTGGATGTTTCAAAGAGTAATGTTTGGTTTTTCAAAATGATTTTAAGACGACTTTTTTATGGACTGCTGTGCTATTGATCATTTGAAAATCGTAAAATATTTGATAATTATGTTTGTTCTTTCGTGTAAATGCTATGTTGTTTAGAAAGCTTCGGCTTATTAACAAGCTTTATCGACCAATGTGTGCTTAAATATGTCAATATTTAGATCAAAGCGATATAATAAACAAATATATGCAATCGTGTTATTAAATTAATAATGTTGAGATATTTAAGTAATTTAGTAATATAATGAGAAACAAAAATATAATGATAAACATTTTGCTTGTGCAATTATGTTTGTACTTCTCTATCTCTCTGTCTCGATAAAAAAGAATATTAATTTTTCGAAAAATACTTACATGCTTTTAGTAAGTGCAAGTACAAGAAATCTGAAATCCTTAATTTTGTCTGATTCATATTCTACTTCTTTCAAAGTGAGCCTTGATTCTTATGTCAATTTTAATCAAATTTTCACGAAATCGCAAGAATGTTAAATTTTTCATTCCTTTTTAAATCACATCGTCAAAAATCGATCTTACGCTGTACTGGAATAAAAAAGTGAAAAAAATTGGAATATATCGGTCCTTAGCCTACGATTTTACGGAGTATGAACATTGTAATTTGTTCGCTTTTACCTCGACAAGACCGATAGATTCACGGCGATATTTCGAAACGACAGGGCGTTCCTGCAAGCCTGGGATAAAATGAAGATCGCGCGAAACCAGCGAAAAAGTCGACTTTGTTTTGTATCTGTATAAGCCCAGCCGCTTGACAAATACCGACACACCTCTAAAGTATAGACGCTCTCTTTATATTTGATCTCTCACGGTATGTTTTACTGTGAGCAGGTCTATTCACGCGTCGTATATTATCATCATCGGCTACATATTTATGAGACAAAGTGAATGTTCGGATGACGAGAATTAAATTCTGAACAATTGAAATCAACTAATTTATACACTTACAAAAACAGAAAAAATACGCTGTCTCGGATGATTGTTACTTTTGGAACGAAACATAGTGTAAAGTTTCGTTAGCATTGTATAACGAAATACGACTATAATGATTTTTAACACTTTGACTGCCACGCTGAAATCACATGGTTCGCTCAGGACGCCATGGGAGTATTTTTATTATTCAAAGCATGTAATGGAAAAATAATAATAAATTGACGATGTAAGACAACATTCTTCCCCAATGGACCGTTTATGTTATCGGTGGTCACGGCTGACCACCGTGGCGCCTTGGTAACAGTTGATAGCAACATATTGTAACAAGGCTTCGTTTGTTTCAACAAACCACTCGCATTTGTTATTTCGTCGTAAGCAAAACGTGCAGAATGTATTGTCGAAACGTGTACAAGATATTAGTAAACAGTATTTACTCATTCTATATATAATAGTAAGAGAAACAAACGTGACATTTTTATGATTTCGACGAAACATTCGGCTGAAATGGTAGAGATCCAGAAAAAAAATTATGTTTTTGATAAACCAATGGTAGTGGTAGATTACAACAGAGGAAAATGTGCTGTAGATTTATCAGATCAAATGATCTTCTACACTACATAGAAGAACCCTCAAGTGGTATACAAAATTAGCTTTAGAGTTATTGTTAAATACATCAACTTCAAACGCGATGATACTCTATAAACAAGCAACGAAAACAAAAATCAAGGTATCAGCTTTTAGAATGGCACTCACAATGCATCTTGCACAGTGCCATTCATCAGAGCCGTCAAATATACTTATTCGACAAAGATTGCGACACGAAATGCGGAAGAAAGAAGGGCAAGAGTACGTGGCACGAAAATATTGCAGAGAGTGCTATAAAAAAATGTTAAAGAGTTAGAATAAAAAATTGTTAAGAATATTATATATTAATATTTATATTACTAATAGGAAACAACATAAATAATTTAAACTCTATAATAATATTAATATTCGTATCGGTCTTTAAAGAAAATTTCATCGAAACTAAAATTGAAGATAAATCGCTTTCATAACTTTAACTATACAACGATGAAAATTCATTGAAATAATAATATATATTGTTTATTATATTTATTATATAGGAGATTATAATGTAGGAGAAAGATTGTAAAAACGTATGATATCAGAGACATGTAATAAGAAAGTGATAGCAATCTTAGGAATGTTCATTATTTCATACTGCCACTTTAATACTATGCAATTTTTAAACACTTTGACTGCCACGCTGAAACCACACGTTTCGCTCAGGACGCCAGTGTTTTAACACAGTGCACCGTTAGATGCAAGATTTGTTGTCATTTTTTTTTGTTGATGTTCTAATAAAAATGTTTCACTGTTCAATGGGGCACGTTTATTTCAAAGTATCTTCTATTTATCGGTTAATAACTGTCAATTTTCATTCAATTTTTTTAATTGTAAGAAGTTCAAGCGCTCCGGTCACCAATGACCAACGTGGCAGACAAAATGTTTTAAACGAACTTGAAAATATATAATTACTACAAATAGAATTACTTGAATCGCAATTCAAGGCAATCAAAGAATTCGGTCGATTCGAGTTTTTTCACGAACCGGAAGATTCTTGTTATTGTTTGTCCCGCGAGTAACTGCGGGATCGAACATTACGATGATTGAAAAATTGAAATGGCCTCATCCGATCGTGAAGAACATGCTTTATGTGATTTATTTTCATCTATACCAAGTGCACATGTGGATCGTATATATGTACATGTTTCACTACGTGGATTTCGCAATAGTTGGATAAAACGAACGATCCATTGCACGGAGAAGTTGTTCGAGCAACGTTCGATGATTTCATCGATATCGATTAATAATGTAGAAATGTAGTATTCGCAAATATGTATAACGTTTGTTAATCGTTCTACACGATTTCATGCTCCAACAGATTTGATATTGTCAGCGTCTCCGAAATAACGCATCCGATTCGTGTTTTTCGAGTCGTAAAATAATTATTTTCTCAACTAGAACTTGTAGCTTGTTCAAAGCATAGGGATCGAAGCAATTTCCACATAAGTCAATAAATTTTTCCAACAGTTTTATCATCCTAGATTTATAGGTATTATCAGTTGCAGAACTAAAGGACTCTTGGAACAAATCCAAGACAATTTGTGCATTAAGAAATTATCCAGGGATAAAGAATTTCTTTAATCTTCCTCAAATGTTAAATCTGTTGCTACTTTTTCCAAATTTCAACTCGTACATGAGAAATCAGAATTACGAATAAAGCTTAACATATACATAATGTACAGAGAATATCTTTTTCTTTGATAGTTACGATTAATAATCAACGATAAGAAGAAATCTAACGCGTAGTACGACTCGTCCTCGTCGACATCGACAAACACTTGCCGATTCATTTGACTTTTGACAAACTTCCTTTTGACAAAATTCTCTTTTACATAAGTAAAATGTAGATGATACGCTATCGTACAGTTTAACGTGTCTGTTCAGCGAGGACATAAGCTGGCCCTCTTGCTGGAGACGAATAGAATCGGCGCATTTGGGAAAATATTCATAGTGAAGTGCGTGTTACGTAACAAAGGGCTTATGCAAATGTTTCCTGTGAATGACTATGGGACACAGCTCGTACGTTTGCGGATTCTGGACAGATAAGAGACTGCAACGATGCTTCATAGTTACCTACCGTCATTTCCTGCTTATGTGATGTTGCTTTTGATGCATCAGTAAATATCCCCGGCGCTAATGTTTCCGACATTTTCCCGACATGCTTTACTTAGCCGCGCAAACGAAGACTTAAATCGTCATCTGCACGGCTTAACGAGGGAAAAAGACTTCCATCCGCTGGTTGGTCTCGACCGCGTTTCACTCTCCTCTGAAAATTAGCAATTTGTAACGTAACCGTAGTACAAAAGGGTGGAGATTTGCCAGGGACTGGAGTCGTGAGAAACGAACAGTCGCATGCAAAAGGCGAGTCGTTGATTTTGTCACGCCGTGATGCCAGTTGAAACGCGTTCCAGACGGTTAGTACGTATTGATTCTTCCTTGGCATCCTTACCCTCTCTCCGCCTAGAAAAGCATCCTCTACCCCTGGCGGATCTCTTTCTTAAACCTCACCCTTTGACCTCACCTATCACCTTCGGCAAAGCTTAGGTTTCCTTTGATCTGACAGTGACTCTAGGCATTCCTTTTACTCGATACAGAACCAGACTTTACAGTAGTTCTGCTAGGTATCGCTAAAACGATATCGCTGAAAACACGGCACGAGCTGTTGAGATAGAATATCTTTTAGCCTTCTCTTTTTTTGGAAATGAACGTTTTGGAGTAACGAGGCAGATGTTGTATACATATCTACCTTTTCTTCTTTGGCCTTTCTATGGCCTCTCTGTTGTGCTCAACTTCTTATTTGATTTATAATATTTTAGTTTGGACTCGATCCAACCTATTAAGAACCAAGCAATAGAAAGCGCGATGTTAAAAACACGTACAAATACACAGTCAAGATTTGAATAAATACAAACGCAACTTTTGAAAAATTTAATTTCTTTAAACTATATAAAATTGTACGGTGATACGCGAAAGAGGTGGCGAGGAAAATGATATTAAAGCAATTCGCTCCTGCAGTCACAATGTTAAGAGGTAGAATCAATAATACGAAGTGATTTTAAACATTTTATTTCCAACTTTTTTGAAATAAAATGTTGCTTTAATTCAACGCTGTCCCTTAATGGGTTGAAGAGGAATAAATATCGTTTTTTTAATCGTTCGGTGATTTTATGCAGATCTTACGGTTTGTTTCAACAGTAAATACGCGATTATATGTTAGAACAATAGTAGTGTACTAGTAGCATTAACGAGTGGCAGTCAGACAGCTGCCAGCGTCTGACAAGTTATTGTCTCATACTACTTACGGCGACTGCACTCCGAACGCTACATAAACTTGGAATTTAACGAACACTTATAATTATTCTCCGTCTATTGTTAAATTTACTATTGTACGAAGTTTTAATTACCACAGAAGCTGCCCGAAAAATACAAGGACGTAATTAGGGACGGTTTACCGTAGCCATTAAAAGAGGAAACGTGGACATTATAACCGAATGAAAATTATTTCAGGCCATCGCATCACCGTGTACATAGAACTTTTAAAAAGGCCGTCGTTTTATTTTAGCGACAGTGGGCAAATAAAAAATTTGTTTTTTCCCATGCGGCACGCCACAATGACGAAATAAAAGCAATTTCTCGGCGAACCTATTCCACGAGGCAGTTGTATTTCACTTTGAAAAGCATTTACGCGAAACCGCGTTAAACAAGACCAATTCTTTCCTCGGCGATAGACAAGCCACGTGGGTAGAAATTTTTAACGCGACAACGATGACGTTTGGATTATGATCACGTAGGAAATTTGAATTTCAGATTCCAGTTAGTTATGGCGTGCCGTATTACGTATCATGTATATCCAGTTTCTGTTCTCCGATGGTCGTCCGGGCACCGAAAATATTCCCACCATCGTGAAAGGTACTGCTACATTCGTGGAATTTTTACGATTAGATGAAGCGAACTTTCGAAAAGAGTTATGTACCGGCAAGACATATTGATCAAGGTCACGCCCCAAAATATTTAGTTAACCTGTTAATCAGAAAACACGAGATAACGAGTCATATTTAAATATAACAACTTGTTAATTTACTAATTCTTCATCTTTTTGTATATCGTATCGTTCTTGCTAAAACTAAATTGCGCAAAAACTAAAACTAGGCAAATTAATTCGTTTTCAATTCCGTAATAGAAAGAGCATTAGGTTGTTTGAAAAGTTTCTTTCGTTTTATAAGGAAATGGTAGATGCACAAAATTTTTTCTTTTATATTATTTTATTGAATTACGTATGATGCATTTCCTTCTGTTACCTTTCTCCATCTCTGTGGAACCATCCTTCCAGAACTTTTTACCACGAAGAGAATTTTTTAATGAAAGAAATAAATAATAATGACACGGTGAGATAAAACATCCCAATCAAATGATAACAATTTGTTCCTGACGGTTAAAGACATATGGAGCCTGGCGTTATCGTGTTGGAAAGCGACGCCTTGACTGTTCATTAGTTCCGGCCGTTTTGTCGCGATTGTTCCCTTCAATTTGTCCACTTGGCAACAGTATTTCAAATTGATTGTTTCACCTTGTGGAAGCAGTTCATAATAAATGGCACCCTTCCAGTCCCACCAAATGGACATCAAAACTTTTTTCCGCTGAAGATCACACCTTGCTACCGTTAAAGGCTTCCTATCCCTTCACCAAGATCTTTTACGTGTAATATTCTCGTAAAAAACCCACGTCTCATCCCCGCTAACCAATCTCTTCAAAAATGAATCTTTCTCCTTTAGCTGAGGAAGCAAATCACACGTAGAAATACGCTTTTAAGGAGCTAGTTCTCTGTCAACTGACGCGGAACCCATACTTCAAAGCGATTGACATAGCCGACCTTTGTAAGATTATTATACATCGTTGTTCGTGGAAAGCTTCAAATATCCGCCAATTCAAGAACATTATATCACGGATTTTCATCAACCATGGTCTTGATTAATGCCGT